CCTCTCCTCCATCCACACACTGACCCATCTCCTCCATCCACACACTGGCCCATCATCTCCTTCATCCACACACTGACCCATCTCCTCCATCCACACACTGACCTGTCTCTGGGGAGTTCAGCTCCACAAACACCTTGGCAAACGCTCTTTGTCTTTTGCCTGGAAACAAGCACATGCTCAGAGGTGCTGACTTTCAGTGGGGTGCAGCAAGGGGAGCCCATCCTGAGGCAGAGTGTGACCTCAAGCTGGAATACAACACGCTCTGCTCTCGTGGCAGTCTCAAGTTTAAGATCAGCGCTGACAATGACTAGGGAAGGCCTGGCTTTGTGGTGGTGTGCAGGCAGGTCAACATTGCTCTTTCCAAAGGGTTTTCCGATACGCACTAGAGAAAAGTGGAGAGCCGTGAGAAAATAGAACAAGTATTTGGAGGTACAGCAACAAGGTTAAAACATAACTCAGGCTCAGACTCAGGCCTCTTCAGAGTCTGTCAAGGAACATAAAAATATAGACAAGACAGGAGCAGTAAAAAAAAAAAAAAGAGATGGGTATGGCTGGCAGGGATGTGGTAAAAGTCTTCAAATTCTAGCTATCTTAATAATATATTCTGAGACACACCTACAGACTGCAATGCTCTGGGGGTCAAAGCCTGGGACTTCCTGGCTCTGTCAGACCATTAGAACATCGCTTCCTCTAGAGTTTTCTAGGTGTCTTAGTTTCTTTTCAATTGCTGTGACAAATCACCGTGATCAAAGCAACTTCTAAAAGAAAGAGTTTATTGGGGTCCCACGGTTCAGACAATGAGGCCGTCGCCATCATGGAGGATAGCACATCAGCAGGCAGGCAGGCGTGGTTCTGGAACAGTAGGCAAGAGCTCACATTCTCATGCAGAAGAGGAGGCAAGGAAAGAGCTAGCTAGTATGGGCTTTTGAAACCGCAAAGTTCACTCCCAGTGGCATGCCTTCTCCAACAGGCTACACTGCTTAATCCTTCCCAAACAGTTGCACCAGTTGGGGACCAAATATTAAAACCATGAGACTACATAGGCAATTCTCATTCATATCATCAGAACAGGTCATCTAATTGTCAATGGAGTTCAGCAGCCTTTCTTGAATCCAGTCTGTGGATGAGGATACAAACAATATTATTCCTTCACACCCACCACCATGGGAGAGGCAAAGGTTCAAGGCTTCCCTCTACAAGCTAAGGAGCAAAGAGAGGAAACAAGGTTTGTAAATGCAAATTGTAAACCAGTGTAGGTTCAAGGCCAATAAACCTGCCACAGGAGAGATGACCCCAGGTCTGCAGAGGTGCTCCAGCAGAAGAGCATTATGTGATTTCTGTCACAGGAGAGATGACCCCAGGTCTGCAGAGGTGCTCCAGCAGAAGAGCATTATGTGATTTCTGTCACAGGAGAGATGACCCCAGGTCTGCAGAGGTGCGCCAGCAGAAGAGCATTATGTGATTTCTGTCGTGCTGGAAGAGTTAGCAGGAGCTCGGGAGACAGGAAGTTGTAGCTGAGCCTTCTCATTTATTTCAAAAAACATTGTCTTTTCTGGGATTAAAGTTGCAAGCAAACATTTATAGTGTCTCTGCAAACCAACTGGGTCCATCTGTGGATCTTGTTAAAGATGAGAGAAGGAGACTTTGACAAAGATTTCCAATGTCTAGGAGAGAATCCAGACATAAGCTCTGGAAGCGCAAATGGCTGAGAGCACAGCAAAGCCACATGGGACTGGGGGGGGGGGCAGCTTTTTTCTCTGGGATCTGCCGGAGTCCAGACAGCCCTTCTCTTAGCCCTAGCACTGTACCCTCTCAGACAGTTTGGCTAGCTCATTCCAAGGACTATATAAATTCCAGAAAGGATGGGCCTGTCACAATATTTATGTGAGCCCAGCAATTTCAAGCTGTTCATTAATATGGCTTTTTCCATCTCAGTTTGCTGTGTAAGATCCATAATTAATCTTCCAATAGCTATCTATCTATCTATCTATCTACCTACCTACCTACCTGATGTGGGACCCCCTTCTGTGTGCTGTGAATATGTTTTATTACCATTGGTTAATAAAGAAGCTGCTTTGGGCCTATGGCAGCACAGAATAGAGCAAGGAGGGAACTCCAAGCAGAGATAGAGGAGAAAAGAAGGTGGAGTCAGATAGAGGCCATGTAGCTGCCAAAGGAAAAAGACGCCTGCCCACTGGAACCTTACCAATAAACCACAAGTCATGTGGTAAAATATAAAATATTAGACATGGGTTAATTTAAGATATAAGAGCTATTTAGAAATATGCCTAAACTATTGATACAATAGTATTGGGATTAATATAACTTCTGTGTGATTATTTTGGGTCTGGGCAGCTGGGAAAACGAATCAGCAGCCTCCCATTATACCTACCTACCTATGTATTTTATTATTTATTGAGGCTGGGAAGCTGTGCACCCTTGTGCAAAATGGAGAAGCCAGAGGACAGCTTTCAGGAGTTGGTTCTCTCCCACTGCTTTGTGGGTCCTGGAGATGGCGCTCAGGTGGTCAGACTTGGAGATGAGCGTGTTAACCCACCAAGCCATCTGCCCAGCCTAATAATTCTTCTTAGCTGAATAGAAAATCTTTACAAAAGAAAGATTCCTGATACAGCTATCACCCAAGGATCTACAATTCACTGGTGGGAAATACCCTTCTTTCATTTTTATGGTTCTTCAGTTTCAGACAGCCAAAAGACCAAGTTAATTTATATTAAACTGGAGTCTATTGGTGTTTATTGACCCACAGGTTGAGAAGCAGGGCTAAAGAAACAGATACCACCGGGAGACCGTTGGTCTCTCTGGTTTGTCATTTATTAGCCTTTGGTTTAGTCCAGGGCTGGGAAAGGAGCCAATGTGGGATCTTTTGGTTAAAGCAGGAGAAAATGTCAGTGCATCTCAGTACTGTTCACAACAGCTGAGTTCCAGAATTCCCTCTGGTGTGCACCAGGAGGAATGGCTAAGGATGTGAGACGGGCGCACAGTGTGTCTACTCAGCCACAAAGAAGAGTAAAACTGTGCCGTCTTCAGGATCTGATCCAAATGCATCGTATAACCCTAGGAAATTCTCAAAGGATTAAAAAAATGTTATTTTAGAAATAAAATGTTTTTACAAAATCCATTATTATATAAAGAGTACCCACCAGTTGAAACATCAGCAGCGCGTGGGTCCTGTGCCTGCAGGTCCACTCTACACTGAGCCTCTGCAACTCTACCGTTCCCCACTGACAAAGGTCCGAGTCAAGGCTGTGTGCTCCAGAGTGATACTCACTCTCAGCCAACACCAGGGGAAGAGGGTGGTCAGCTTTGACTGTTGAGTAATGAAATTGTCTGTCTTTCTCACAAGATGGGTTGTCATTTCAGGACATATTCTTATGTACTTGGCACCAGTGATTCAGTCAAAGAAAAGATTTTTACGTGGAAACTGACTTACTTGTCAATGTTGCTTATAAGTCCTTGTTTCTGTTGCTCCGATGAGACAGAACAGCAGGATGCTGCACTGAAAGAGACACCAGCTGCCCTGAAGTTGATGGTATTCAGGACCAGCAGAAATGGATGGGGAACATGAAAGATGTATGAGATCATAAAAGTCATAAAGACAAGACTCACAGAACCTGTTAAGAGTCAAAGTATAATGGTTTATGAATGATGAAATATCTTTTAATGGGTAAAATTAAAAACCCATTCTAAATGAGCTGAAATGTCGACAAAATTATAACAATGGAGACTCATATTTCTTTCCTTGTCAAACAGGTAGATCAAGAGAATAAGGAGTCAAAACTCAAGCTTGTAGGTCTTCAAAAAGCTTTCTCTTTTTTTCTTTCTTTCTTTTTTTCCTTTCTTTTTAAATTTTCGAGACAGTATTTCTCTGTGTAGCTCTGGTTGTTCTGGAACTCACTCCGTAGACCAGGCTGTCCTCAAACTCACAGAGATCCTCCTGCCTCTGCCTCCCTAAATGCTGAGATTAAAGAAGTGTACCACCACTACCAAGTTTCCAAAGGCTTTCAAATGCTTAAATAATGTAGAACCTTTAGAAGTGCCAATAAAGTCTAGTTTTATTTTTTAAATCCTACAGCTGGAGAGATGGTTCAGTGTTTCCCAGCACTTGCTGCTCTTGTAGAGGACCAGGGTTCAGTTCTCAGCACCAACATGGTGGTTCACAACCATCTGTAATTCTCGTTTCAGGGTTATGCTGCCTCTTCTGGCCACCACCTACACTACACAGCATACTGCACATACATACAGGTAAACACTCTTGCACATTAAATAAAAGCAAATATTTAAAAATAATCCTGATACCAACATGCATCAACACCCACTGAGGATGTTTTCTGTTCTGAACATTCCTTCCCTCCACCAAAATTCGGTACTCTCCCTCTCTCCCTTGCTATGAATGTCACCTACACTCTGGGGAATTGAGTGAGGTGTCAAAAACTTCAGGCAAATGAGGGATGTGCTAGCAAACATTCTATATCAGATCAAGATGTCCAGTGTTCTTCCTGGCCACTAATCCCAAATGCATGCAGTTTGCATTGCATCTAGGAGGCTCTCCGGGAGCCAAAACATAAGCCTCATCATTTCCACTGCCGCCTTTCTCTTGCCCCTTCTGAGTTCCCTCACTGTCCTGGGAAATGTTTCCGTTTCTGGAGGCAGGGAGCCTCACTGCCCCCCATACTGCCTCCTGCCTGGTCTCCTGTCTGTGTCTTTCCCTCTGCTAGTCTGTTCAAATTCAAACTCCAAAAATATATTTCTTTTTACTCTTTGGCTTTCTTTCCCCTCACCCAAGAACTGACCCACCCAAACAAGATGACCAGTCAAGCCCCAGAAACTGACAGATTCCATCTGGGGGTGAGGCCAGATAAGGTGAGTCTGTAAATCTCCCCAGATGGTTCTAATTCGTGGTGAGCTTAAAAACTTGAGAGCACTTACTCGAGGGGAAGTTCTTCAAAAGAAAAAAAATCTGGTTAATATTTCATGTTATTTCACAATCATGCACAGTATTACATAATCATACACAAACAGCAGACGTTAGGCAACTCCTTGGAAACCAATCTAAACCTAAGTCTCAAAGAGAAATTTGAAGAAAATTGTAAAAATATTACATGCCATGGTAAATACCTACTAATTTGTGGTGGAGGACAGGGGGGATCAGATATCTGATTGTCAACCTAATCCAGGCAGAACACTTGGAAATTCTTGCTTTCTATCTTGTACTTTTAATTGTCTTAGGGTTTTTGTTGTTCCTTTATTTTTTTTTCTTTCCTAAAGAGCATCCAGTTTGGGCCAGGCTCTGTAGTTTTTTCATGTGAAGGAGCTGAATCTAACTTGATTGCAACTGGTGACCAATAAGACAAACCCAAACCAAATCAAATCCTGCAATTGCTGGATCAAATCCTTGACAGTAAACAATGCTCACCCCAAATCTAAACCGCCCTCCTCATTCTGTCTCTGATGAGGTGCAGGCTCTGCCTGGTAGCACAAGGCCATAGCCAGCTTCCTGTTCAGCTGCCTTGGTAGCTGCCTGGAACGCAGGTCCTCAGGAGATGCCGAGCTTTTTAATAAGGGTGAGGACTTTACGTACAGTTAGTTCCAAATCAGAAGGGATCATTGGTCTGTAAGGTCATCACTCTGGCAATAAAATCTCATAATTAGAAGAAATATCACAATAATAGGCAAGCATACAGAAATAAATAATTGACAAAGAAAAGATAGCGGCATCCAGTCTAAGGTCAACGTGCAAAACACAAGCTCCAGAGCCAGATCCAAATCTCGGCTCTACCTCCTGCCAGCTGTGTGCCCTTCAGCAAGTTGCTGAACCTCTCTGCGTTTCACTGATCACATCTTCAAAGCAAGAGTCATTTTAAAAACTTCCCTTGCAGGGTTTTTACAAGAACTAAATCAGAAAATATCGATTAAAGCTCTTGGCAAATGATATTTAAGACAGACTTTTTGTTTAATTCCATGGATGCATCTCTCCTATGAAGTGGTGGAGATCGCCTTGAAGGGTCTGAGTGTAGAAACAAGAAAGGGAAACGCACAGGTGGCCACAGAATGGAACAGCTGACACCTGAAGCTGCAGAACCCCACACATAAAGTCTCTCTCTGTCTGTCTGTCTGTCTGTCTCTCTCTCTCTTTCTCCCTCTCTCTTTCTCTCTCTCTCTCTCTCCCTCTCCCCCTCCCCTTACACACACACACACACACACACACACACGTATAGTCAGTTAAAACCTTTGCCTGATCCCAAGCTGACTGGAGACTACCAACAGTTTGACCCTTCTAAACCTGTTTTCCAGGTTCTTCCCTAATTTCCCAGGATTCCTCTGGAGAAAGGGAGCCCTGCTAATACCTCCCTCAAGTCTTAGTTCTTTCAGAAGATGTTACTGGTGTTGGTTCTCCTTTTCCTCAAAACTCAGGTAGAAAAAATTTTTTAACTAGCTCAGATTTTATACAAGAATGGACTTAATGATACATAAAATTCACTATTTAAAATAAGAAAAGCGGTTTTGAAAAGTCTCTGATTCCTACTCACAAGGCAAAATATAGATTATGTTCGAATAATAACATGACAGTAGGCACAATGGGGGATAATTATCTTTTCTCCTCCCATGCTTGGCCTTGCTTTTTTCTCTTGCCCTCGCTGTCTAAAGTGCTCTTCTAGCGCACACAAACCTCCCCCACATGTTTGCACACTGCCAAGTGATACCCACAACCTGACCCAGAGTCCAGCGATCATGAGGAGAGCTGTACCAAGAACACACACACAAGTCAGAATGTGCTTAAAAAGTGAAGCCAACCTCCTACGCGTTGGCTGAGACCTCACCCTTAGCAGAGAGCTGCCTTAGGAGAATGAGGGGTGATGTGGGGGCCTTCTTGAGTGACAGCTCCCTAGCCTGGCCTTAGATGCAGTTGATAAAGTGTGCTCCTAGGCTGTCTCAACTGTGATGGTCAAATCCCACTCATGCATTGGCGCATTTTCCTACAGACACCAGAAAACCAAAAGAGAAAAGAATAGAATATTATGAAGCAATTGAAAGGCTTTTCACAATCTTTTAAAACTCTGCATCAATTGCTGTTTTATTTATCTGTGGCTGTAGAAGCCCAAACGTAATAGCATAAAGCTGCAGACAGTTTTCTCCAGGAGAAAGGAGAGGGAGGGAAGGAGGGAGGCCGATGGGAGGAGGAGCTGCTCCCACGCCTCCTCCTGCTGCTGCTGTCACAAGGAGACTAGGGCCTGTGTGTTCTAGGTGCTCAGCTGGGCTGAGCAGGACACCTACACACGGGTCTCGGTGTGCCCTGAGCTTGCTTTCATCAGGACAGCTGGGTTCCAACAGCCCACAGCACCCTGTGCCACCTGTGAGCGCCAGTCTCTTTGGTCTCACGGTGACATTGCTGCCATCTTTTACTTACTGCGAAACAGCAAGAGAAATCAATTAGACTACACTCCTGCTTCCACGGGTATTTCAGAGCTTGCGCCTGACGGCCGCATGGTAGCTGGTCAGCTTCGGGTCTTTTCTGAGACTCCTCCCATCCTGTCCATCCCTCCCCCCAGTGTGCATCCCACACACACCACTAGAGCACGCCATGCTTTGTAGATCTTAATTTGAAGCTGGAGCTTGCAGCCCCTTTCTGGGTTTCCACCTGCTACATGGCCGTCTGGCTCACCACTGCCCATGCGGGTTTGGCATCCTACCACCTTTCTGGAACTTCCTGTGGCTTCTCCGTTCTGCCTGGACTGTGACATTTACTAAGGGAGCTTTACTGACGCTGCTGGTTATGGAGTCCACCATGTTCATGCTCTCCGGCTCCGGAGAAACTGGGTACCTCCCCATCTCTGCTGCCATCCTCCACTGTGTTCCGAGGCTCTTCTCAGCTCTGTTTCCACCCTCCACCCTCGCCGACAGTCACGCCTCAGCTCATCTTTGCGCCAGGCACCTGCCAATCCTCTTTGGTTTTCCTGTTTTAGAAAGAAAGGCCCGAGTTCCAGGGCTATAAACCTTTAGATATGGTATTCAATATGGTCGTCAGAGCATCGAGACGATGATCATTCTCTCCGCTTTCTGTTTTATTTTAGGACGAGGTCTCACATAGGGCTTTGATCTCTCTGTTTAGCTGAGGACGATCTTGCCATTTGATCTTTATGCTACACACCACTGTTCCCTCTACATGCGATGCTAGGGGGCAAACCCAGTCTGTGCACGCCAGGGAAACCCCCTGAACTATACTGCTCTCTGGAATGGCACCAGTCTGTGCTTTGTCCCTAAGTGGGCCCCAGTGGTACCCTGGAACACTGTCCTGTGTTCTGTCCTGGGAAATGATAACCAAGAAGATTGTCTCTCTTGGAAGACGCTGATGACAAAGAGGCCCACGTAAGGGACCTTCTTTTCAGAATCCACAGTCATCCGAAGAGAACCACGCTATCTGAAGACCCTAGAGGCCCCACCTCAGTACACACTGGAGCTTACAAAACTGAGGGTTCTCATCCCGAATTCCGCCAACAGCAGGAAGTGTCTTACAGCTAAAGTGGTGGCTTCGGTCCACACACAGCAGGGACTCCCGCGAAAACCAAGGAGGTACACAGCCTCGGGCTGAGGACACTCACACGCAGTCACAGTATAGACTTGTCTGGTATGAGTCTATCAGCTAATAAACCAGTGGATGGCATGTGTGTGTGTAGGAACCTCCTGCAGAATTTCTCCTGAATTTCCTCAGTTGTGTGGACATGATATCGGCTCTATTTTTTGACTTCCATGTTTGGTCTCTCATACCTAAATACTGAAAGCCTGTGGGAGACGGTTTCACACAGAGGGTCTCACTTCACCCGATCCAGCCAGCTCCTTCAAACTTGAATTCCCAGACAAAC